CGGGTTCTGATGAGAACAGTGTAAGCGTTCAAGCAAACCACTTCTGAAGATGCAAGCCACTCGTGCTTGCGAAACGTGAGGAATACATTCTCGTCGTTTGTTAGAATTTCTTCTATCTAGAAAGTCTAACTCTTCAGTTTTGGATAGTTTGTCGGTTTTTCTTTGCATTGCAAGTGTGACGATATTCCTGAATAATCAGGAAAAAGTGTTTTTTAGGCGGGTATTTGGTCCAATAGAGTAGAATTGCTTGCAAATTTAAGTTCATTTTAATGACTACTATGACTGTCGTTGTTGCCACAATTAAGGGCATTCAACTCTACAATTAATACGGAATTAAACTCATCTAATTTTTTTTGTTTTTCGGAAGATTTCTGTTATGATTGGATTATTTGAAGCAAATTAAAACGCCAATGCTGGCATCGAATTCCATAATATTTTTCTGTTGAATGTACTGAAAATGTCACATTTCATCTCCTTTGAACAAAGGAAATTTCGAAGAGTTTTTGAATGATCGGCTTTTGACTGCCTACCGAATCTATCGGTTTCTCGAGTTCGTTGCACTCGCTTTCCACTGTAAAATACAATTCATTTGGGTTCCACAACTCTTAGTTTTAACGGTTTATGCAAAACTAATCCAGGTTTGGTTATTTGGCCCTTCATAAAATCCGAAGTAGGTATACAGGGTGATTCAAAATTGGCGTCATTCCTCTGGAGGTGTTGTCTGCCGCTGTTATAGGAGTACAAAAATTGTAAAATAAATTAATTGTTATTAAAAAATGCAAAAATTGCAAAAAACTATATCAGAAATGCGGCAGCAATGTTTTTCAAGGTAATCTGCCTAATTAACATTGCGCAAATACCTGTAGCTTCGTAATTAATTAAAACTCCGGTAACCATGGAATTTTACAGACTGACAATAAGATAGACAAGGATAAACGGTAAATTCAACAAGATTTGTTGAGAAAATGTCAGCCTGTTCTCATAACCTCGAATATGGGTGTTTAAAAATAAACCCTACAACACCAAACAGTTGAATGGTTAACTCCAAACAAGCTAGTGCCTGTGTAATCTCCTTATTATCCACTCTTATCAAGCAGCTTCTCGTATTCAGCTAATTAACTCCTGCTCCATTTGTATCTCCTTGTGCTGTGTGTATCGTACAAACGTGGTAGGAATGTAGCCCTTTTTTTTGCATGAATTTGCATCTTTTACCGCAAAACTTCTGACTGCTGGATCAGTTGGAACATCAAATAGTTCATATAACCGGCTTTAGGCACATTTTGTTGCTGATTTTTCAATGATTAATTATAAGCGCTTATGCGGTTTGCTTGAGTAGCAAAGTTTCTGCGGCAAACACATAAAAAGTGGGAAAAGAAATCGAATTTCCGTGTTCATCAAAACGGAATCGTGCAGCGACTCGAAAAAATCCATCGCAAAGTAACAATTGAGCGGCTCAAGATTGCACCAGTTGCATTCTAATAAACTCACTGCACTGTAATCTTTCCTTGGAAATTTATGCGATTTTTCCACGGTAACAATATGTAGGCACCGCGTAAAATTCCCTTGAAATTGCATAGGTATTCAACTGCAAATCACTGTGTTGAACAGACAGGAAGCATGAACCGGAAAAACTGGAAAATTAGTCATCCAGGTTGGTTGTAGGTAATAAAATTTGAAACGTTTTCAAACATTGCAACTTCATTGGCTCTTCTTTCGCTTACTGTGTCTGTTGCCCAATTTTGTTATAATTTGTGGTATTTATTTGCTTGTTTCTCAACTTTTTTTTTCTTTTTTCTCAACTCAAGCAATTTTGATGTACGACGCCTCTAGCATAGAAGTTTTAAAGGAAAAACCAGTTGGGTAATCAAAAACATTATTTTTATCATTTAAGTAAAGCAAATTATTTGCTCAATGCTCCATACTTTTTATTCAAGTTTTTTTTTTTCGGAAATAAAGCACTTTCTATTTACAACGTTTGCCTTTATTCTCCTCATTAAGAGCATTCAGGAG